GAAACGTGTGTGTGTGTGTGTGTGTGTGTGTGTGTGTGTGTGTGTGTGTGTGTGTGTGTGTGTGTGTGTGTGTGTGTGTGTGTGTGTGTGTGTGTCAGGGACGTACATCCCGAGGAAGGAGGTGGCGGTTCTGGAAACCATCAAGGCGACAGTGATCAGAGAGAATCAGGCCATCAGACTGAGAGCTCGTAAAGAGGGCGTGGACAGAGGAGGAGTCCGCAGGGTCACAGGTATGATTGACGGCATGATTATTTTTACTTTGTGTGTGTCTGTGTGTGTGTGTGTGTTACCTGTGACCCTGTCTGTGTGTGTCAGGTGAGGAGTGGCTGGTCAGAAGGGTGGGAGCGTATCTACCAGGTGCTCATGAAGAAGTCATTGACATCGTGGACGCCTTCATCCTGACGGACAAGGTGAGCCTTCGTAAAGTGGCCTGAACCTTCCCAGTGAGCGAGCGGACGTGTCTCTGAGGTTTCTAACACGGGACGGACGTGAAACTAGAAGAACACAAATCTCTCAGGATGAAGAAGAGGAGCCGTACACGTAGAAGACGAAGACGTCCACTTGGAAACACTAACTACACAACATGACCTGAGTTCATATGTGAAAGAAAAACAGAGAATGAAAGAAAAAGTTTTTACCTGAAGCGTCTTTGCCTTAAAATGAAAAAACCAAAGTTTGGTTCGTTGATACAAACTGAGAAACATGTGACACAAGAAAATAAAATCTGTGTAGAGGATCTTTAAACTGTGACGACAGATTCCATGTTTTGTTCCGTCTCATCAGAAAGCGCTCCATGTTCGCGCCCTGCGGCCGTTCAAGGACGCCGGCGGCCGGGAACGCCGCACAGGGGGGGAGTGGCTGGTGACCATGGCTGACAGGGAGGCTCATATCCCCTCGGTGGCAGAGGAGGTGGTGGGGGTGGTGGACGTGACCACCCTGAGCAGCCGTCAGTACTGCGTCATCCTGGACCCGGTCGGACCTGATGGGAAACCTCAGCTGGGCCAGAAGAGGGTGGTGAAGGTGACTCACACCAGAAATCCTTTAAACTTGATTCAGTTCATCTCTACACCCTCAACTACACTTTGATCTCATCTGTCTTCAATCTGAACTTTTCAGATGTTTCAACACTAATAAATAAATAATCTGTTTTTTTATTATTATTATTTCGCCACAATGTTAAGATCCTCGCTTGTCGTAAGATATTATCGTAACCAGCTGTTTAGTTGACGTGAACTGAGCCCAGCGAGTCTTCGTCACGTTTCACTTTCTTAGATTTGAGTTTTTGTAATATTCTCTCTCTGTGTCGTTTCCCTCCGTCAGGGCGAGCGCTCCTTTTTCCTGCAGCCTGGCGAGCGCCTTGAACAGGGCATCCAGGACGTGTACGTGCTGTCGGAGGAGGAGGGTCTGGTGCTGAGAGCCGTGGAGGCGTTCAACGACACCGAGGAGGTGAGGACGGTGGTTACCGTGGTAACAGCGGGCAGGTTTCAACATCCTCTAACGTCTGTGACTGACACAGACTAAATAAAGATGGACGACATGACTGCTTCATAAAAGTGCAGCCAAATAATCTGGATCGCCCCCTGGTGTCTGGCTGCAGTATAGCTCATTGAGCTCCTCCATGTTAGCAGATGGGACCAAACAAAAAAAATCACAAAAGGAGACGTTAAATAAATGTTGAGGGAGGGGTCAGCAGAGAGGGAGGGGTCAGCAGAGAGGGAGGGGTCAGCAGAGAGGGAGGAGTCATGTCTCTGCTGTGACTCAGACGTTTGCACTCTCTTCCAGCTGCTCTTGTGAAACCTGCTGATGGATGAGAAGAGATTTGAAAAGTAAACAGAGGTGGAGTCGTGTGTTAGATCAGAGCTTATCTCAGGAATGTCCCGGAGAAGGGAGGGACGCGTCTGAGGACAAGACGTTCTCTGTGCTCCACCCGTGTGTCCGCCGTACGCTCGTCTCTCTGCT